GCTCCCCAGGTGATTTTTGAGGTGCAAAGTTGTGACCACTGCCCTAGAAGCTGCCTTTTTTTTTTTTTTGAGATGGAGTTTCGCTCTTGTCACCCAGGCTGGACTGCAATGGCGCAATCTCAGCTCACCGCAACCTCCACCTCCTGGGTTCAGGCAATTCTCCTGCCTCAGCCTCCTGAGTAGCTGGGATTACAGGCACGCGCCACCATGCCCAGCTAATGTTTTTTGTATTTTAGTAGAGACGGGGTTTCACCATGTTGACCAGGATGGTCTCGATCTCTTGACCTCGTGATCCACCCGCCTCAGCCTCCCAAAGTGCTGGGATTACAGGCTTGAGCCACTGTGCCCGGCTTTTTCTTCTTTTTTGAGACAAGGCTACGCTTTTAACAGCTGGTTCTGATGCAGGTGATCCCAGGATCTTACTGTCCTTGAGTCACTGTGCTCTCCCAAGTTGTTGCCTCTTTTTGTATCAGAAAGGTGACTTTTCAATACCAGGATTAGAGATTGCGGGGACAACAAATCTCAGAATGTAAAGAGAATTCCTCTTTTGGGGGTTCACAGAACATTATACATGGAAAAGAAAAGTTAAAACTCAAGCTAATTAACAAAGTGGAGAGGAGGTATGTGTAATTCTGTTAGCATTTGAAAAATGGGATTCAGGGAGGCATTTTGCAAAATTGTGCTTTCCAAGGAAGCTGATACAGGGTGGTATGTTGCAAGATTCTTGTCAAAGGAAGGGGATCCAAGTACAAATGTTGCAACACTGTGCTGCCAAAGGAAGTGGAAGCTAGGGAAGTGGCTTCTTAGTCTGTCAGATCTGGAACAAAGCTTAAAGATTATCTTGACCAATCTTCTCACTGGACAGAAGGGGAGACAGACTCAGAGAAGAAAAGGCTCGTGCCCAGGGCCAGGCAGGGAGTTACTGATGAGTTCAAATTGCAGTCCAGGTTTCCTAACCACCACCTACCTGCTGCCGCTTCCTCTCCTCGAGTATCTATCACCTCACTGTTGCGCTCTGGGTCCCTAGCCCAGCCTCCACATCCCCACCCTCTGGACAGCGCCCAAGGTCAAAGGATGACCCTAAATCTGTGTGCCGGGATCTAACCCTGCCAGATGACAGGAGCGAAAGCCAGCGGTGGCAGTGGCAAGCCGGAGAGGAAGAAGCAGTGTCTGATGATGTGGCCTGACCTCAGAAAGGAAGCCTGGTTGGTCACCAGGGGGAATTTCCCCGGGTGAGGTCTCACGTCTATGCAAATATTGCACTGCAATTAACCTGGACCCTGGGATGGGAGAGAGAAAAGAGGGGAGAGGACACTGGGAAGGACAGAGAGAAGGGCAGGTAATAGGACCTGAACATCCCCAGGGTACCAGGTATTGTGCTAGGCTCCTCATGCACTTAATCTCATTTTGCCCCTAAAGTATCTTCCAATGTAGGAAAATTGAGAGTCTGAGGCCCAGTGAGAGAGTGCATTGCTCAAGCAAAATCAGCACATTCTAACCCCAACGGGAGATCAGGCTTCAGGGAGAGGCGATAATGGTGATGATAGATTTGGCACTGCTGCTGCTGCTGACAAAGGTGACAGTGATGAGGCTTGAGTCCACAGTCTAGCGAGGTTTCATTTTAGGTTTCCATCTCACTCACCAGGGGAGTTTTATCCTGGGAACAGCCAAAACAGCAGGAAGGTAGTGACCCTGACTCAAGGGCAAATCCCAGCACTCTGGTTTTTCAAGGCCTTGTAGGGGCAAGGGATGTGGGAGCTGACACTATTAACCCCTTCACCACCAGTTTCGGGAGCACTCCTGGAAAAGGGAATAGAATGGGATCCATGCATTTGAAGGAGAATCACTCTCTGCTACCTCTTTAAATTTTCCTCGCCGTGCACCTCACCATTTCCAGAAAGCCTTCCCTGGGGACTTTATTCCTTTTCCAAGGCTTGATCCCATTTACTGCCTGGTTCTCCAGGGAGCTGGTCTTGTCTCCCAGAGCAGGATGCCAAGTAGGATCAGAGCTCAAGTCAGGGCTCTTGGGCTCAAAGCCCGTCCTCCACATGGCCTGGTTGGTTACTGTCCTGATGGGCTTACAAACGAAAGCACAGACTCCTGATTTCTGGAGGTGTGTGGGGCACAGTAAGGCTGTGCGTTAAGAAAAGTGTGAGTGTGCACATGCCCCACTGTGTGTGAAGAACAAGTTAGGATATATATGCGAGGTGTTTCCCATGTGGACAGCGTGCGTGCGCACACACACCCACCCCCCCCACCCCCACACACACCCCCCCCGTCTGTATGTTTGGTTGTTACCAGCAAATTTAAAAAATATATTATTTTCTCTATGTGGTCAACAATGTGTGTCTCTGTATGTGTTACCCGCAGAATAACTTACACTCCTTAGTATTAGCAGCAATGTGTTTCTCATTCCAGTGTGTGCCCTGTGGGTATGGCTGGCAGTGATAGTGTGTGTGACAAGCAATATTTATGGACCTTGAGTGGATAGAAGGCACATGGGAAAGAGGGGTATGGACTGTCAATTTCCTACCCTCCCTGCTTTCCTTTCAGTCCCTCCCAGGAAGGGTTCTGCATGCAGCTGGCAGCAAAACAGGCAGATTGTGGTAGCTGGGAGGAAGGGGTGGGACCATCCCGCAGAAGAAATGCATGTTCTGGAAATTTTAACAGCTGGGCCTGTGTGTATGGTGGGGGTGGGGGTGGGGTCATTCCCAGACGGCTCTGGTTTAGGGTTTTGTCAGTCCCTACCTGGCTGAAGGAGGGCAGTGGGACAGCCTACACCAGGGACCTCTGTCCCCATGTCCTTCTCTGGGTTCTTAGGGAATGGCACCTGGCTTCATATCTGCCTCCTCCCCGCTCAGTCCCCATGGCACTTTAGGGCCCTTTTCCCTGTTTTCTCACTCCCCAGTGTCCTTCTGTTTTTGCCAGCTCTGCTTTCTCTGTGCTGGTTTGTGTCCTTGTCCCTCCACACCTGTCTCCTCCACACTGGTCGCTGGGGATGTCTTTTCTAAAGGACATCTCTAATCATATACTCTCCCTCCCTAGCACATTCAGCCAGTGCCTGGAGGATAAAGTCCACACTCTTCAGCCTGGACTCAGTGACCTTCCCATAGGGTGTCCTCACACAGCAGGTGACGGGCCCCAGCTCTCCCATGGACCTCTCCTTTCCCAGTTCTGCACCTTTGCTTCAGTCATTGCCTCTACCTGGAACCCCTCCCTCCTTCAGTAGTTTCTGATGTGAGAGCTTCTCTAGCCATCTCTTGAGGTGCTCCTAAATGTCCCCTTCTCCGAGGAGCCCTTGTTAGTCCTCCCTGTCGTTAAGTCATTGCCTCTGTACTCAGTGTCCCTTGCTTGGTTGAAAGTTTTCTTTTTCTTTTTTTTTTGAGATGGAGTTTTGCTCTTGTCACCCAGGCTGGAGTGCAGTAGTGTGATTTTAGCGCAGTGCCACGTCTGCCTGCTGGGTTCAAGCGATTCTCCTGCCTCAGCCTCCCAAGTAGCTGGGATTACAGACGCCTGCCACCACACTCAGCTAATTTTTGTTGTTGTTGTTTTTGTATTTTTTTTTTTTTTAAAGACGGGGCTTCACCATGTTGGTCAGGCTGGTCTTGAACTCCCGACCTCAGGTGATCCACCTGCCTCGGCCTCCCAGAGTGCTGGGATTACAGGCGTGAGCCACCACGCCCAGCCTGTTTTTGTATTTTTAGTAGAGATGGGGTTTCACCATGTTGGCCAGGCTGGTCTGGAACTCTTGACCTCTGGTGATCCATCTGCCTCAGCTTCCCAAAGTGCTGGGAAGATAGGCGTAGCCACTGAACCTGGTCTGGTTGAGATTTTTCTAATAATCTTTCCCCACTTAGCTCTCTGAGGGTAGCAGGCATAGTGTAGAGCATCAGACTTCCCCCTCTGACCCTGATTACTCTTCTCTAAAATAGAATCCTGCCTGTTATCGATAATAAAAAGCTGATATACTTACTGAGTCCTTCCTATATTCTAGACAGTGTGCTCAGAAATAAACATGCATTGCCAATACAGACAGGTCAAGTTACTTATTTACTTCTATTAATAGTAGTGGATGGGATTTGGACTCAGGCCTGCTTGCGTCCACAGACCTAATCACTGAGCAGGGCGCTCAGTTATGTAACTACAATTTGCCACTCACCTCACTCCAACCCTAAAGTGGGGAAATCTCCTGTAGGAAGCCCAAGTTCTGGTGGGAATGGGGAAGCATGTTAGAGTGCTGATTTACCACTTCTGGGTTCTGAAATTCAGGTTGGGCAACCTGACACTTCTCCCTCCCAGCTCAGTCTGGCTTCCTAGTCAATAGGTAAAGGAGGAAGTGTCAGCAGAGAGCAGAGCCTGGAATCAGGACAGCTGGGTTCTAGCCTCACATCGAGCCCTTATTAATAACGTAGTCACAGTCCTGTCCTCTGGGCCTCAGTTACCAAACTTGTGAAACAAGGGGGTTGGTTGGGGCCATCTCTAAGACCATTTCCAGTGAGTCAATTCATGATGTACTGCCTATGTCTTCAGGCAATTTGTTTCGCCAAATTTCCTCATTGGTAAAGGGTGATCACCCCTGCAAATGAAGTAATGGCCATGGAGGCAAAGCTTCTCAAGTGGGATTATTCTGGTGGCGATTTATTGCTTGCAGCTGTGCTGGGGCACCATGAATCCAGGGAATTTTTTTTTTTTTTTTTTTTTTGTCAGGATGTCCTTTTGTAGTCAAGGCGGGAGTGCAGTAGAGCAGTCATGGCTCACTGCAACCTCTGCCTCCTGGGCTCAAGCGATCCTCCCACCTCAGCCTCTTGAGACTGCAGGCAAGCACCACTACCTCCAGCAAATTTTTTTCCCATTTTTTTGTAGAGACGGAGTTTTGCTATATTGCCCAAGCTGGTCTTAAACTGCACTACTCAAGCTATTTGCTCACCTTGGCCTCCCAAAGTGCTGGGATTACAGGCATGAGCCACTGCACCTGGCCATAGGGAAATGTTAAACAGCCAGCAGTTCCCACACCACTGCCACTGGCAGGAGGTTGAGTGGCAATTCCCAAACAGCTGCTCTCTGCTCAGGCGCCGGGCCGCCCCCTGCCCAGTCCTTGCAGGCCGCCAGCCCCCCTCCAGCCGGGGCCGTGGAGCACCGGGGCAAAGGCCCGGCCCCCCCCATGAAGGAGCGCGACGCGGCCCCGGCCGAGCGGGGCAAGCCGGCCACCTACACCGGGGACAAGAAGGCGAAGATGGCGGCCAAGACCAACAAGAAGTGGGTCCGGCTCGCCACCGTGTTCGCCCTCGTGCTCTCCGTGTCGCTGGCCGCCATCGTGCTCGCCGTCTACTACAGCCTCATCTGGCAGCCGGTGGGTGCCGGGACCTCGGGGGGAGCCGCCGGCCCGCCCCCCGGCGGCTCCAACGCCACCGGCCCGCCCCCCGGCGGCTCCAACGCCACCGGCCCGTCCGTGACTTGGTGAGCGGCGGCGGTGACGGGGCCCAACACCACCGGGTCGTCCCGCCGCGGGACGCTCCCCCACTGCAGGGGGCGCGGCCGGCGCCTCCGGAGCTCCCTGCGGACAGCCCCCCGGTCGGGCCGCTTGAGCGGCCTCGGGGGCCGGACGAGGACGAGGAGGAAGCGGCGGCGGCGCCCGGGAGTCGTTGAAGCCCTCGGCGCTGGGGGCGGCCGGGAACCATCCTCCCCAAGCCGAGAGGAAGGACTTCGCATCAGGATGGGGTGGAGAGCCCGCGGGAGTGACCCCCACGGGAGTGAACGCCCCCCGAACTCCCACCATCGCCGGCTGGTCCCGGAGCTGGCGGCCCGCAGCCACATCTTCAGCCAAGGGACCACGATTCTCCGGGGGCCTGGGGGGCTGGGGGGCTGCTGCCCAGGACCGGGCGGCACCAGGGCCCTGAGCCCTAGGGGGATGGGGGAGGGGTGGGGAGATCCCAGCACCAAAACCTTCTGCGCCGCTAGGTCTGGTGTATCCTACATGCAGGGGTGACTCGGGCTTTCCCCCAAGACTCAGGGGAAGGAGGGAGCTGTAGGAGCTCTTTTTAAGTAAGCTGAAGCTCTCGAAAGGAGGAGGGCACCAAAAGTAGTGGAGCTCAGGTACATCAACCTAGTTTCAGTGGTCAGAGATGCATTAAATTTCTAGATCCCTGTATATAGTTGCTGACATATGCACTAGAAGCTATAATCACATAGAATTCTATGTATATCCTCCCACACCCTGGGTAGCTACTGACTGAAGGGGCCAAGCAAGGGCTATTTGCTGGCCCCCAAAGTACACCTGGCCGGAAGGGCACAAACACGGCTTCTTAAAATCACTCCCTCTTTCCTCTCTTCCCCTTCTATTTCTGAAAGACAAGTTTATGACGTTCTTACACAAGAGAGTATAATCATTCTTAGACTGTTAACATGGCTGTGGAAAGCCTTAGGAGAAGTAGAAAAAAAAAAAAAAACTTTCCATGAACCTCTCCAGATGGAGACCGCCTCAGGTGCACTTGCATAGTTCAAAAGAGGAAGTCTGGGCTTGGTTGAAATGCATGAAAAGCATACAGAATGTCCAGGCAGCCAGAGGGGAGGAGGGGAAAACTGAGACCCAGATCAGGGCTGGACCAGCCTTCTCAGGCTTGCTGCAAACTCAGATTCACCTGTGTATTTCCCAGGAAACACCTTGCAAGGATTTAAAGACATAACTCACTCCTGGACAGACCTGACCACCTCAGGCTCTAATAAGGAAAATCCAGGCTGCACGTCTAAGTAGAAGACAGAGGCCTTCACTGGAAACGTGTTTATGTGTTTGTGCATCTCTTTATTTTTTCTTTAGAGATAAAAAGTGTCAAGGGAATGGATCAGACGCACACTTTAGGATGTTAATGTTAGAAGGGAGGCCAATAATTTTTTTTGTCTAACTCTCTCATTGTAGATAAGAAGATAGAGATTCAGAGAGGAAAAAGGGCTGGCCCAAGGTCAGAAGGCAGGTACATGGCAGATGCAGATTTGAACCCAGGCCTCCCAATTCCTGGTCCAGTACTCTAGTGTGGCCTGGATGGAGAAGGGTGGTGAAATGGATGGGGAGATTTGTCAGTTTGCCCCAGCACGTTTACTGCTCCTCCCGCCCCCCTGCCCAACACATTCAACTGGCACCTGCCACCAACCCCATCATTCAAAGTACAGACACTACTCATTCTACAGACAGAGGCTCAGGGTATTTTTGGATCTGACATAGTCAAAACCAGGGCAGAGGCTGTAGCGGGGGAGGAAGCTGGGAAAGGCTGCGGAGTCAGAGGGGAATGGAGGTGGACAGGATCTATGGGTACTGTTTTTCAGCCACTCAGCTGTGCTGGGCCCTCGATGGCCCGTGGGAGTGGGAGCCTTTCCTAAGCTCCATTGTAGGTAAGAGCCCAACCCCAACCCCTCCCCCAACCCCTCCCCCTTCCTTAGTCTCTGGAGCTGGAACAATCGGGCTTGGCTGTGGCGGCTGGTGCTGATGACCATTTCTTGGCAGAGGTGCCCCCCAAAGCTGTGGCCCTAGTCCTCGCCACCACAGAGAGCCAGCAAGGCCTTCAGGAAGTCTCCGGAGGTGTCGCCCTGGCACAGGCAGAGAGGAGAGTGAGTGAAAACAGTCCTTCCAGCCTCAATGCCCCCTCCTCCCAAATGCCCATCTGTCTGGACATCTCCCTTGGCTTCTCTCCATGGCCAGTACAGCTGCCACATGTAGGTCAGAGGGATCTACCCAACACATAAATGTGACCACGCCCCTTCTGTTTATCCCCAGGAAGATGTGCAAGCTCTTGGCCTGGATTCAAGGCCCTTTGGGATTTGACCTGTGCAGAGCTCTGCAGCTTCACCTGCTCCTTTTCCCCAGGAGCACCTCAGTCCTCTCTCCACCTGTCCAGCATGCCCCTATGCACCCCCAATCCTGTCTGCCAGCGGGGCCCTCTCCTCTGAGGCAGAGTAAATTCCTGCCTCCCTTGGTTTCCCTGGCACTCTGCTGATACCCTCCTCCATGGCCCTATTGTGTCAGGTGATTCCTTATTTGAACAAACAATATTGATCACTGACTGCCAGGCCATTGCTGGGAACAGGTGTGAACACCATCATGCTCACCACACATCACAGTGGTCTGGCACACGGTCAGACTGGGGAGGCCAGACTTCCTGACTCACGGGTATGGCTCTCCTTTCTCAGGGACTCCTATCATTGTTATGAGACACGGTTTCTGGGATTTTGTTTGTTCTTATATTTTTTGATATATGATTTTAAAACATAATATAGTATCAAAATGTGCTAACAATTTACTTACATTCCTACTAAGTCTGCAAGAGACAGACTGTGAGATGTCCCTAGTCTTGTTAGCCAAATGGAGCCAAGCATCAAACTTTAAGATTCTGGCTGATCTCAGAGACCAAAAACGTAAGCTCCGTATGTCAAAAAAGTCAGACACAGCCGGGTGCAGTGGCTCACCTCTGTAATCCCGGCACTTTGGGAGGCTAAGGCAGGTGGATCACTTGAAGTCAGGAGCTAGCAACCAGCCTGGCCAACACGGTGAAACCCTGTCTCTACTAAAAATACAAAAATAAGCTGGGTGAAGCGATGAGCTCCTCCCGAGGAGCTAGAACTACAGACATACATCACTACGCCCAGCTTGAAGCCAGGAGGAGACTTGCTTGAACCCAGGAGGTGGAGGTTGCAGTGAGATGAGATGGCACCACTGCACTCCAGCCTGGGCAACAGAGCAAGACTCTGCCTTAAAAAAAAAAAAGTCAGACACAAAAGGTCACCTATTAGGTGATTCCATTTATATGAAATATTCAGGCAAGGCAAATCTACAGAGACACAAAGTAGCTTGCTGGTTGCTTACGGCTGGAGATGGAACTAGATAAACAGATATGAGAGAGCTTAGTGGGATCACAGAAGTGTTTGTAAACTGGCTGCATTATGGGGATGGTGCCACACTCAGTAAATTTATTAAAAACTGTTGAATTGTACCCTTTAAACAGGTGAATTTTAGGATATGTTTTTTGTTTGTTTGTGTGTCTGTTTTTGAGACAGAATCTTGCTCTGTCACCCAGGCTGGAGTGCAGTGGCATGATCTCAGCTCACTGCAACCTCCATGTTCCGGGTTCAAGTGATTCTCCTGTCTCAGCCTCCTGAGTAGCTGGGATTACAGGTCGCCACACCTGGCTGATTTTTGTATTTTCCGTAGAGACAAGATTTCACCATGTTGGCCACGCTGGACTCGAACTCCTGACCTCAGGTGATCCACTCGCTTTGGCCTCCCAACATGCTGTGATTACAGGTGTGAGCCACTGTGCCTGGCCATGATATGGAAATTATACTTCCATGACATTGCTTTAAAAAAAGTAAAAAATGGGCTTTTTATTCGGAAATCTTTAATCATAAACCTTTAATTCTTCTGGAATTGATTTTGGTATAAACAAGGCAACAAGGCCCCCTTTCATTTCAATATCCTGGCGGTTCAAAGCAGCCACCCACTGGGAAAAAGTCCATGGGAATAAAGACTTCTAATCTTACATTAGGGATTTGACACTCACCCACTTCCCACTAACCTGTAGCCCCTCCCCTTACCTCAATGGCTTGGTGGAGAGACTTGTCGTATTTCTCAATGAATTCCCGCCGGATGTTGAGCAGGTCGATCTCACTGCGGGAGACCATGATCCTGGTGAGAGTCTTCTCATCAGTGCCAGCACCCTGGTAGAGCCAGGCAGGAGGGAGACATAGGCGGGAGGAGAGACAGAGCCCAATCAGGCAAGAAACAGTGATGTCCATCTGCCTCTCTCCCTTGTTCCCTCCAAAAACAGGGCGGATGTTCTGCCTCTGTCTTCTGCAAATAGTCCTGAACCAAAATTCCCCTGTGCCCAGGACTGGCCAGACTGACAGGCAAAAAAGGTGTATATGGGTTGAATAGCGTCCCTTCCAAAACTCATGTCCACCTGGAACCTCAGAACATGATATAATTTGGACATAAGGTCTTTGCACATGTAATCAGTTAAGATGAAGTCATACTTAATTGGATTGAAGCCTAAACCAATAACCAATATCTTTATAAGAAGGGAGGGGGCACAGACATACACACAGCAAAGGAACCAGGTGAGGACAGAGGCAGAGACTGGAGAGATGCACTCACAGCCAGAAACACCAACGACTTCTGGCAAGCACCAGAAGCTAGGAGAGGCAGGGGAAAGTTCCTCCCCCAGAGCCTCCAGAAGGAAACCAACCCAGGCGACACCTTGATTTTGGGCTTTTGGCCTCCGCAACCATGAGAGAATAAACTTCTGCTGTCACCCAATTCATGGAATTTGTTACAGCACCCTAGGAAACTAATACAGTGCCCAAGGAGCAGGCACAGGGCATGGAATATATGGGCAGCCAGAGCTACCTCTGCCCCCAGGGAGCTATGAGCACCAGCCTAGGAATCAGAGATAGGTTCGAGTCCCAGCTCTGTCTCTTAGGAGCTATGTAAATGTGGGCTATGCTTTACCCTGCCTAGGCCTCAGTTTCCTACCACAACGTCACAGGACTGCCACGAGGGTCAAATGTGGTCAGAGAGATGAAGCCCTTGGCACAGGCTTGACACACAGTGAGGACTTAAAAGAATGGTTGTCACATTTGGAGACTGTAGACTGAGGGTCTCAGGTTCCTTCCTACCTTCCTGCCTGCGCAGGCCGTCAGCAGCGAAGGCTCTAGTGGCTGAGAGGGTGGCCAGCGTGGCCTGGGCTCTCCCAGAAGGGAGGGGCATGCTTGTGGCCTTTGATGACTATTTGTCATAGGAGATCCTGTGTCACCTGATAGATTATGAGCTCTGAGAGGGCAGAGACTGGTTCCTACCCAGCCCTGTGGCCCCTGAGTGCATTTCTCAGGCTTGGCTTTTCGGGCTGGGTAATTCCTTGTTGCACAAGCTTGTCCTGTGCACTGAGGATGTTTAGCAGCATCCTTGCTCTCTCCCCACCAGATGCAGGTGGCAGTTCTCCAAGTTGTGATGACCAAAAATGTGTCTGGATATTGCCAGATATCCTCCAGTGGGGGTGATGGTGGGGGAAATCACTCCCAGCTGGGAAATACCATCCTAGAGCCAGACAAGGCAGATGCGGATAACTCAAAGGAGAGGAAACAGAGGCCAGGAATCCCCATCTGGGGGATGGTGTACATCTGTTGGTGTGCGTATGTCAGTCAGTGCTTGAAGGGAAAGAAACGAGAGCATGCTTTCTTACCTTCATGGATTTGTAAAGTTTGTCGGCAAAGAAGAGAGGCGTGTTCTTGACACTTTGAACTGGTAGGAAGAGCAGAGAGATGCGGGGAACGTGGTGAGAGGCTGTGAGCCGAGACACTGGACTGGCCCCCCCACCTCCCCACCTCATCTATCCCTGCGTGGGTCTGCAGATCATTGTCAACTGCAGGGTCATGCTCAGGCACCTTCACT